ACAGACAGAGGGGACGGTCAGCGAGGGAGGATCAGCACACACACACACACAAAGAGAGAGAGAAGCAAATATCTTTATACATAAATATATATATATAAGTACCTCCACGGAAAGAGACGGCTCTGTGCGTCGCATCTGCACTTGTTCGTGTTGCTGTTTCTTTGAGCGTGGACCCGTTGTGTGTGTCTGTGTGTGTGTGTGTGTGTCTTCCTGCCCGGCTAGAAACTGTCGCCTTAAGTCCTCATCACCACCGCGAATTGCGTGTGCGGGCTGGCCGAAGAAGATACACAAGCAAAGCGGACAGCGAAAGCTAAGCGGAGGAACCCCCACAAGTGCATACATACATATATATATATATAATAATAATAATAACGACAGCGGCAACGCTAGCCAAGGCGTCGGTTGTTGTTTTTTATTTAAACAAAGAAAGCAAAAAGAAAACGGGGCCGTAGCGAGAGGAGGAAGAGAGGATCAACAACAAATAAGAAGAAAAAAAACCGACAACGACGACGACGACAGGTCCCTCTTTTTACTGAGTACCGTTTTTCACGCACACACTTTGGGCTGCCTCCCCGCCGCGGCGATCCCTAGATTGCATGGAGAGGCACCTCGACGGCGAGTCGCTGCCTCGAGACCGGGCGCGTCGCAGGCGCAGCAGCAGCAGCAGCAGTAGCAGTAGCAGTAGCAGCAGCCGCCGCTCGTTGCAGAGGCGGCGCCACAGGGCGACACGTTATCGGCGGTCGCGTTCGCGCCGCCGTCATTCCTCCAGGAAGCGGCGCCGCAGTCCGTCGCGGCGGAGCCGCAGCAGGGAGAGTAGCTGCAGTAGCGACCGACGTTGGAGTGACGGTAGCGGTAGCCGCGGTCGTCGTCGATCGCACTCGCGGTGGCGTCGCAAGTCGGGCGGGGCACGCAGGGGCGGGACCGCGGCAGCCTTGCTGAGCTCGGAGCCGTTTAGCGTGCGGGCGGACCACGGCGTGTTGGAGCGTCCGGCGACGGATTGGGTGTGTGGGGTGTGCGGCAACCCCAACTCCGTGAAGCGGGAGGACTGCTTTCGCTGCGGGACCCGCTTCGCGGTAAGCGTCAACGCCACCCCAAGCGAAGAGGTCAGGATTTCGGGCCTTCCGCAGGGCGCCGCCTTTGCCGACATCCAACGGGCCCTGGAGGATCGCTTCGTGGAGCACGGCGACACCTGCCACATTGTTGCGTACGACATGAACGACAAGGACGAGAAACAAAGCGAGCATGGGGGCGGACGCGCCGCCTACGTGCTCTTTGACAGCGTGGCGGAGGCCACCAAGGCACTCACGTACGCTCGCTCGCTGCTTGCCGTCGGTCAGAGCATGTGTGCCATGGAGTTTTCGACGCACCGGCGCGTAAGCGAGAAGTCGACGCCGGTGGCAAACACCACCGAAAAGACGGCTGTCGTCAAGCCCGTGGAGGGACTGCCCGCACATCTGCAACCGGCTGTGTGGAGGCCGGTAGAGCACTTCTCCTCCGCCGAGGAGGAGAAGGAATACCTGGACCTCCTCTCAAGACACTGGGAAAAATTGTCGCAGGAGCAGAAGGACTACTACGACGAGGGAGTTCGTAGAGCACTGGCGGCGCAGCGCCGAAAACAGCAGGAGGCGAATGGGGCGTCCATCGTCCGAGAGCTGGCCCCAAACGCTGAGCCCGTGGCTGCTGCCCCGCCCAACGCCGGGTCAACGCTGGACAGCATTAAGCGACGGCTGGCGGAGAAGAAACAAGCTGTGCGAGGCAGCGCGAGTGAGGCACCGGGGGTGAAGGAGCAAACGGGGCCGGCCGCCTCCTTGAAGGAGAGGCTGGCGATGAAGAAGGCGCAGCTGTCCTCGGCAGCGAAGCCGTCGAGCGTCACCGAGACGGAGACGGCAACCGCGACCGCGGCAGTGTCGCCATCCCCCACCCTCGCGCCGCACAGCGGCGCCGCACCGGCCCCCGTGCACCTGTTCTGCGGCTTCCCCATTCCATCGCGTTTCCCCGCAAAGACAGACTACCTCACAAATTCGAGGTCGCCTTCCTTTCGCGCCGGGTTGATGCTCCGCTACGTGCCGCCCGCTGTGGCAGAGCGCATCGTGCCCCCGTCGGCCCGACCACCGCCAGCCTGAGAGCAAAGCCATCAGCAACAGTGACGAACAAAGACGGAAGCAGCAGCAGTGGCGCCAGAGTCGACATCAACAACGAAACAAAACCGTCAATGTGTTATGAACTGACATTTTAAATGTATGTTTTGCTCTTTGCGCGGGTGCGACAAGGCGCGGCCCGCGATGCCGTGGTACCTCCATTATATCCAGGGGGCCATCACCTCCCCTCCCCTCCCCCACACACACAAATACACACGCTCTTTCTTTCTCTTTTTTTTTCTTTCTTTGTTTTCCAACGGACGGAGATTTGTTTTCTCCGTGCGGTGCCGCGTTACGGGGAGAAATAAAAACTAAAAAACAAGCGGCTGCAAAGTAGAGGATATCTAGCAGCACGCCCACACACGAGCATAAGGAGGAGGAATAACTCCCAGGATGACGTGCCGAAAACATGTCGTCTGGGACGAGAATAATCTTGAGCAAAATGAGGAGTACCGCCGCCTGCACCCCGTGACGATGCGAATAACGGAACCGAAAACTCCTTACGAGTACGCCGGGGTGGACGAAGAGGGGAACTTCTCTGATGAAACCGAGCCGACGGAGGGAAATGGGAAATTGGAGGAGGAGACTCTCACCACGTGGGACCCGAAGGTAAACGCACTAGCGAAGGAGGTGAAGGAGGGGTGCATCAAGGGTAGGACTAGGATCGTCGCGCCGATAAGTTCTTCGGGTCGGCCGATGTTGTCAGCTGCTGTTACGTCCGGCAAGCAGCTTGAGGAGGAGCACGACGAGGACTTTCGAAGGATGCGCAAGGCGGTTTATGCGGACGAGGGGGCCAGGTTCAAGGCGCTGTTGTCTAAGCAAAACGAGGAGGAGGCGAAGGACTGAGGCGGACTGCTAAGCGGTTGCATGTGAATAAATTTTGTTTGATAATTTCGTTTCCTTCTTTCTTCCTTCTTATTTTTAGGACGTTGGCCTGATCTG